CATTCCAGAGACAAGGCAGTCTGCTGCAAAACAGAAGTTCTGCCCAGCATGAGAAGACATGAGGATTTAAAAGGAAGAGCAGCAAAGAGAAGGGAAACAACCATGGATTACAGTAAGGCGCACATTACAGTATTGTTTTATGTTAAAAAATCTGAGGGTTTAATGTCATTTTAATGCATCCGAATGGGTCTGAACACAATTGTTTGTTACAGCAACATGGGAGCCATATACAGTATATACATATAATACTAAAGCTGAGGCTCCTAGACCCGAATGGCATGTGGGATCCGAATTTCTGAATTGCATGCGGAAGCTCCCAAATGCCATTCGGGTCGCGGAGCCATACACATGTATTCCTAAAGCTGAGGCTCCCAGACCCGAATGGCATTAGGGAGCTTCTGCATGCAATTCAGAAATTCGGATCCCAAATGAGGTTCAGGTTTAGGAGATTCAGCTGTAGTATTAATATCTGTATATGGTTTTCTGTGGTTTTTCCCAACGAATATTCATAAACTCATCCGAAACTAAAGAAACTTCGGATTTCGCCCGAATCCGAAACCTGAATCAAATTTTCGGATCCGAATTCCGAAATAACAAAATATCCGAACCAAATTTTTCCACAGCTTACATGTCTAGTCTGTACCACTTACACAGCACAGCCAGGTTGGTGACTTGACCTTCCTCTGCTGCATCCCTACATGTGATTGGATAGTGAAGGGACAGCAGAAGAATGGTGAATACTCCCCTCTGTTCATTTTCATTCTCCTTCTGTCAGAATGTTTCCTGCGAGCTCATAAATAATGATGTGCGGGGGAACTTGGTGCAAACCCTGTTAACCAAGCCCTTGTAAAACTGTCACGGACACCCCCTCCCGCTTCCTGGCCCAATCAGTTTCATCAAGCTCCTGCACATCACTACTCAGTCACTTAGACACACCTTTTTGGCCCCTGGTGCTGCCCCTCCCTCCTCTGCTGATGCTGCACCGGAAGTTACAAGAGGGTTTTACCAAGTCACAACCAGGTAATTACAGAAGTTGCATTGAAAGATACATTTCAATAAACAGATAACTATATGATTAGGAGGTTTGATGCATTGACATCAACTTCCATTTAAATGAAACTTTGAAAATATTCTTAATATTTTTTTTTTCTCAGTGTGAAGATTTGTTGTGCTGGAGGTTTCCTTTAGACTTGCTACCCGTTCCACAGGAAAGACAAAGAGGTTCATTTTTTTAAATGAACACATAACTGTATATTTAGGATTTTTTTATTTTATTCATTATCCACTTCAGCTTTCATTTTAGGGCTTGTTCACACCATGTCCAGACCAGAACAGTTTGTTCCTGGACCAAAAAAGCATCCCAATGCTTTTTTTGGGCTCTGTTCACACCAGCGCAGTCCGTTCCAGTCCAGACGAAAAAGAAAAAAAATTCTGCTTGTCTCATTTTCTCTCGCCTGGAATGCATGGAAACAGCATGCAAACGCACAAGAACACACTGGACTGCACCTGAAAGCCCATTTTAAGGAGGCAAAAACGCCTGCGCCAGACATAGTGTGAACATAACCTAAAGGGCTTGTTCACACCATATACAGTCCATTCCAGCACGGTTATGCATAGTAAACTCCACCCTACGTTCTGGGGAGGGAGGGGCTTGGTGGTGCACTTAATTCAATGACACTGCAGCCATACACCCCCCTCCCTTAACTATTAACAACAATGTATCTTATTTGTGTATCACTCGGCTGTAGATCCTCCAATCATCTCTGAATTGGTGCTGACACTGTCCTTCCTTCTGGAGGGGGGATACTTTTGTTCCCCATGGTCCCTGTGTGTGTTGTAAAGTAGTCACCGCTCCATGCTTGCTCCCGGGATGGACTACAATCTCAGGTTTAGTTTGCTACTTTGCACCGAGATTATAGTCCATCCCAGGAGTGAGCTTGGGGCGGTGACTACTTTACAACACACACAGGGACCATGGGGAACAAAAGTAGCCCCCCCTCCAGAAGGAAGGACAGTAGTGTAGATACTTGAATGCATTTGTAGGATTTAACTCCTGTGTTAAGTGTCACTTTAATCCCCTGTCACTGCAATACATCTAATACAAGTCCAAGCAAACAGCTCCAAGGCCACTCCTGTGATGGACTACAATCTCATGTTTAGTTTATTAATTTGTATTAACATTGTAGCCCATCACAGGAGCGAGCTTGGATGTTTGGGTTTATATATGTATGCTTTAAGAATGCAGGGCCCTCCTTACCATCTTGTCTTGAATTGCATTGTGATTGTAATGCCTTCCTTATATTGTAAAGGCTGCGCAAACTGTTGGCGCTCTATAAATCCTGTATAATAATAATAATGTGACCCTACATAAAGGCTGAATGCCTTAAAAGAAAGGTAGGAAACTCTGGCCCCCCAGGTGTGCTTAAACCACGAATCCCAAAATTTTTCTGCCTCTGGGAGTCAGGCCTGTAATGGTCAGTCTTGCAATGCCTCATGGGACTTGTAGTTCCGCAACAGCTGGAGGGCCAGAGTTGCCTACCCCTGCCTTAAAATCATCAGTATTCCCCATAGGTTCCCAGTTACTTTGTATCCTTTCTTCCAAGGCAGGTTATGAATGAAAGAGACGTTCTGGCATTTTATTTCAGTTGCAACCACAGAAAGCTGAATAATCATTGAACCATAAAGGAAATTATTACACTCCGCAAGTCATTCTGCTGGCATGGACTCTGGCCTGGAAACACACACGGAGCACCTCTCTGTGCCCATGTCTGCGTAGCCTGTGCTGCAGAATTCCTGCATAATGCACAAGTAGCTGTCCTCAGCAATCAGCCTCAAAGCTACCCCTTCTGCCCATTGTCACCACACCGAAATTACACACGCTGAAATCAATTACTGGCTTAATCAGTCCCAGTTTGAGAAAACATCGCTGAAAGGAAACAGCTCCCTCATAACAAGGATGGTGTGCTTATCTGTCATACAAGCAGCCTACCGAATACTAAATCCTTTCTGGGGAATGCTTAGAAGCAGGTCTAAAGAAAACCTCCAGCAAGGAAATGAAAAGTTCAGGCTGAAAAAAAAAATTAAACTTTGCTGTCTGCAATTGCACTTTTTTTTTTAAACATGTTTAATTTTTATTATTTTTTATTTTTTTAAAATCTGAACAGCAACTAATTCGGCCGTGTACTAAACAAATGAATTCAGCTGGTGTAAGTACCAGAATTATGTCATTCTCTGATATGGAGGGACAGCACCATCAGACAATCAGGCTGTGCTGAAGGAACATGTTGAGAGTAGAGCGCAAAGGGAGCAGGGGAATGACTTCATAGGTGTGTTGCTGCTCTTTAATTATCTACTCGTACCTGAGATACTACAGCGAATGACACACAAATAAGCTACATTTGTGTTAATAGTTGGAGAACTATGGGGCCAACCTTTTTTGGCCATAGTTCCCTTGAAGGAGAATTATGAGCTGGGCGAAAAACACTCATCCCCATAATTCACGCCAACCTGTGATACTGAAGCTGTCACAGGTCGGCTCTATTCATCAGGAAGTCAGGGAACACCTACTGGCGATCACTGCATTCCCGATCCTCTCTCTGTAGAGAACGGTGACTCTCAGTTACCGCTTCCCGCAGGGATTCCCCCCTCCACTCTCCGATCCTCCAGTGCTGACTGGAGGAATGGATTGGGTGGGCACAGTTGGCTCTGCTTCTAGATAGGCAGAGCCTGCTGTCAATCAGCCAGCGGGGTGGATCTCCTCAGTAGAAGATCCGTCCCTACTGCAGCACGCTCTCTGCTAATAGCATATAGCGGGCAATGTACAACGGTGTGCACATGTGATATGCACCATAACACGCGCCCACTGGGGTGAACAGGGCTTCCTAATGAATGTCAAAGCTATGCTATCTGGCAGGGAAGCCTGGATCAAGAAATGGCTGAACAGAATAACAAATTATTAGGCAGGTAAAGCTGTTCCCATTTAAGTATTTAAAGTGACATTAAAGTCAAATTTCTTTCCCCCTCCCCCCCATGTTAATGTCAGCACTTACCTTAAATGATGTCTTTTATTCCGATCTTCTTCTTCTTCTTCTTTCCCCATGTTTTCATCTGTCCCTCCAGCGGTGCGGCGGCTCTCCGATCCAGGGCTGACACCTCTCTGCTTGCTGGCACTTCCGATCCAGGGGTGTCTGCAGGTGGGTGCACGCGTTCATAGACTTACCTTGCGTCTCTGCTCGTCTCGCGCCCGAGAATCGGAACTGCGCATGCGCCCGCCCCAAGATCCTTTGATAGCAGTCGATATAGGCAAAAAAAACGGAGGGTTTAGAACCACAGTTTATTACAGTGCTCGCCTGGAGTTCAGCTTTAAAGAAGATATGGGGAATTTATCAAAACTGGAGCAGACAAAATCTGGAGCAGCTGTGCATGGCAACCAATCAGATTCTCTCTTCAGTTTGTTCAGGTAAGATTTGAAAATTAAAGAGAGAAGCTGATTGGTTGCCGTGCACATCGGCTCCAGATTTTGTCTTCTCCAATTTTGATAAATTCCCTTCAATGTATTTTGTGATAACAAAACAAAAAAAAAAGATATTTTATGCTGTTTCCCCATAGTTGGCTGATTTGATGCTTTTAAAGACAGGACCATAAAATCATGATTTCTGTACAGAAAAAAAACCTTTAATAGCATGAGAATAAATATACAAACTGAACCGAACAGAGGAGCTACAGGAAGAAGTTCCAGTTCCCTTTAAGCTGAGAGTCGCCGGAGTCCTAGTTTTACACAGGGCTATTGGACTCCCCAACCCACAACATTTATTGGCCCAGCGCTGTCATATTCTCCACCAAACCTGGAAGAAACTGGTATTTCCTGGTGGCGTATGGGCTGCTGGGTAGATGCAGATGAAAGAAAACCTGTTGCTTTGTCCTGAATGTCAATTACAAAACAATTCTGTTTCACATTTAGCTGACTCATCCATCAATTAAGCAATATCCAGAGGACCTACCTTCAATATCTTCTTCCTCTACTACTTTTAGTACTTTGGATTTGTAGTCCCGGAACACCATGTATTTCAGCAACCGCTTCAGCTTTTTCTGTAGAATAAGAGGAAAACATCCGATCAGCCAGAGAGATCTTTCCAGAGAGAAAAAGAGCAAAGCTGCTTCATCCATCTCTAACTGGAAACAAATACTCCAAACATGGGCCACAGTGCTGGAGTGTATGCAGCACACCCAGAACAATCAACCAGATAAACCAAAGAACAATGGAGTAGGGCTTTAAAAGGTGCTTAGGCAGTTAATGCATCTTAAAATGAATAAATGTTATTTTTTTCCAGTTAGAATCATTGGATACAACTGTATACAGTACATGATAGAGCAATAAAATCAAATGTATTTGATTTATCATGATTGTGAATGCCTTGAATGAACCTTAGGCAGCTCTTACAAATACATAACAGTTTCTGTGTAGTTATTTTGCCTTTACACAGGTCCATGTCTATATAGACAAGAAATAAATAACACTGCAGAAAATGCAGGTAATGGTTTGTATCTCAATCTCAACGTGTTCCGTCCCAGTTGGGATTCTTCAGGAGGAAGACGTTTAATTAGACAAAGATGACAGCACCAATGTCAGACGCTCATGCACAGGAGAGAGACAATGTTCCTATGAGGGTGGGGGACCACAGAAGGAGGCCATCCCCAAGCACCTGTTGAGCAGCATGGCCGCACATGGGGGACAAGCCGCTGGACCAGGACGGACAGATCATAGACTTACCTGGGTTTGAACCTCTGGTATCAGCTACAAGCACTGTTTGGGTATCCCTTTTATTTTGTTCAGCCCACAGATTGATAACCGTGCATACCCAGATTTACACAGCCTCCTCCACTTGGTGCTTTGTGGACGGTGCTAAAAGGATAGTGAAACAAATATATACATTTATCAGGAAAGTTGCATCAAAATACCTTATCTTTGCGCATCAGGAAGAGGAGGTCTTCAGGGGACACCACCCGTGCCCCTCTCATCTGAGACACTTCCGCAGCTTGCTGCAACTATAAATAAAAAAGGATGCTAAATATACAAAATAATAGCTGCATATCTTTTGATCACAATGTATTCATTTTTAAAGGCACAAAACAAAATCAGCACAACAAAACCATATCCCAAAATTTAGAGAATTACTCTTCATTTCAGGACAGTGGGCAGAGCCATGGGAATAATTCCTTTATGTCGCATCAGCCAGATGCACATCCGGAACTGCTGGTATATACTGCAAATAGTCTAATACTATAGAGACATTTATTTCAATCTGCGTACAGCTGTTTTAGGCTTTTTGCCTATCATCAGTGCAGTGTGTGGAAACCAAGGCTCCTATAGAATAGGGTTTGGGACCCAATGAGACATTATATTAAAGAAGAACTATGGGGTAAGTGTTTTTCCCCATACTTCTCCTCAGGGTCACGGGAGGACATAAACTAGCGTGCTCCCGTGACCCAAAGCTCAGTATACCGCGAGCTACAGCTGAGTCTGCCGCAGCCAGGACGGATCCCGACATTATTGTCAAAATCCACTCAGCTGCGTGATTGACAGCTGGCTCTGCCTATCTAGAGGCAGAGCCAGCTGTCAATCACGCAGCTGAGTGGATTTTGACAATAATGTCGGGATCCGTCCTGGCTGCGGCAGACTCAGCTGTAGCTCGCGGTATACTGAGCTTTGGGTCACGGGAGCACGCTAGTTTATGTCCTCCCGTGCCCCTGAGGAGAACTATGGGGACAGTCTCATTGTCACACGTCGGCTCGAACTATGAGGTTGAGGGAACATCACTCACCTCCTAGTTCTCCTTTAATACAGGTTATGGTGAGAAGCCCTCCAACCAAATCAGTGCATAGCACAGAAAAGCCTTCTTAAATCAGAAGGTATTGGCAGAGAAGGGCGGCGGACACTGAACGGTTGATAAGGTGGGTGAGGTGGATCAGCAAGTGCTGAAATAAAATCTCAGTCATATGAAGTGCATAGTTTTCAGTCAGGAAGACTTGACTAGTAGACCTGTGTTAAGTGTATCTAAAGCCATATTTTCACTTTCGGATAGAGAGGCAGAATACAGAACATACAGTGCAATAGAGTAGCACATATCACATTACATGAGAATACAAAGGAAACGTGGGGCACAGTAAAGCCCCAAAATAGTCTCCCATAGATGAAAACAAAGGACACTGCGTGGTCATGACCCTTCAGGTACTTGTTATGCAACATACATGTTTGAAAGTATCAATGTATGGGCCTAATCTAATTTCCAGCCAAAAAGATCTCAACACAATGTGCTAACTGCTCCCAACATGTTGCTCTGTTTGTAGCCGCAGGAGATCTTTTTGGCTGGAAAGGACCACCGATCTGCCTTTTCATATAGTCTCCCTCCTTGGGGCTTCATTTACTGTTAGACTACCGTTTCTCCCTCCTTCTTTTCGACCATCACTCCAGAACACCCTCCTCCTGAGAAAGCCTTTCTTGTGTGAAACATGTAAAGTTGCGGCCACAGCACATTATTGACTGTATGAACATCAACTTTTCTGGATCACGGAAGTGGCATGAGGACTGTTAATATATTCATATGCATTGTGTTATGATGTCTACCAACAGCCTGATAGTTTCTAGAAGGTAGTTCAGTGGAAATTGAGGGGATGTTTTTTATCCTCTCCTTTATCCAACCGTCCAAAACTTTTTTTTTCTTTTTAATGGATTCTACTGGTGTATGACCAGCTTTAGACTTCCCATTCCCAAACCATGGGAATAATATAGAGTTGTCCATCCCCCTCTGCAGCCATAACAGCTTACACTCTTCCGGGAAGGCTTTCCACAAGATTTTGAAGGGTCTCTGGGAAGTTGTGCCCATCCAGCCAGCAGAGCATTTACACGCTTAGGTACTGTTGCCACAAGGTTGGAGGGGCACAGCTAAAATGTCTTTGTATGCCATAACATTAAAAGAGAACTATGGCCCAACCTTTTTTGTCCATAGTTCTATTTAGGGTCACAGGTGGACATAATTAATGTCCTCCCGTGACCCAAAACTCAGCATATAGGGAGCAATTGCCCCCTATATGCTGACAGATCAGAGCTTTGATTTGAGGGTAGAGGGGCCTGCCCCCTCTAAGGCAGGCTTAGCTGGCTCTGCCTCTAGAGAGGCACAGCCTGCTGTCAATCAGGCAGTGGGGTGGATCCCGACAATATTGCCTCTCAAGAGGCAGAGCCAGCTGTGCCTGCCCCCTCCCCGTCCATTCCTCCAGTCAGTGCTGCAGTAGTAGAGAGAAGGGAGGGGGGGAATCTCTGCCAGGAGCGGTGACCGTCAGTCACTGCTCTCTGCAGGAAGATGATCGGGAACTGAATGATTGGCGGTATGTTATTGCTCAGTTCCCGATCAATAGAGCCAATACAGCTTCAGTGTCACACGTCGGCTCTATGTAATTCACTCTCACCATAGTTCTCCTTTAACAGTTCCTTTCAGTGGAAACACCTGAACTCAATAATTTGGAGGGGTGTCCACATAATTTTGGTCGTATAGTGTAATGAGCAATAATTGCCTCCATATTTATTTATTATTGGTATGTATATAGCACCGACAATGTACGCAGTGCTTTACATGTGTACATATACATCAGTCCCTCCCCTCAATGAGCTTACAATGTAAGATCCCTATCTCACATGCATACATACAAGGGCCAATCTAGACAGGAGCCAATTAACCTCCCAGCATGTCTTTAGTGTGTGGAAGGAAACCAGTGGACCCGGAGGAAACCCACGCAAGCACAGGGAGGACATGCAAACACCTTGCAGAGAGTGATCTGGCGAGGATTCGAATCAGATACCCCAAATGCAGAAGCGCCGACCACTAAGCCAGTGTGCTGTACATATATTATTACCTACACAGGAACAAGGCTTATACACAGAATATTACAGGAGAACTATGGGGTAAGTGTTTTTCCCCATAGTTCTCCTCAGTGTCACGGGAGGACATAAACTAGCGTCCTCCCGTGACCCAAAGCTCAGTATACCGCGGGGTACAGCTCGCGGTATACTGAGACCGCCACAGCCGGGATGGATGAGATCGAGATCCACCTAGCTGCGTGATTGACAGCTGGCTCTGCCTAAATAGAGGCAGAGCCAGCTGTACTCGCCCCCTCCCCCGTTCGTTCAGTCAACGCTGGAGGATCAGAGCGGGGAGGGGGGATCCTTGCAGGGAGCCGTGAGTGACAGCCACGGCTCTCTGCAGGGACAGGAGCAAGAAGTGAGCAAGCGACGGTATGCGTACGCTCACTTCCCTATCTATTGAGCCGACCTGTGACAGTTTCGTTGTCACGCGTCGGCTCGAACTATGAGGTTGAATGAAAATCACTCACCTCATAGTTCTCCTTTAATAAAATCCTTAACAGTAGAACGCAGAAGCTGTATAAATGGGAATATTAAACTTGCATGTTACAGGAGTTGACAAGAGTTCCAAGTGCACCTGAAAACCATTTGGTGAAATTCTAGCTCTCTCCATCTCGAGCGCTCGGGCAATACTTCACTCAATATCACTGTCTGAATTGGAGCATTAATAATTTTCAGATCTCACGCTGCTAAGATTTGAATTAGGCCTATTCACAGGTTCGCAGAAATCAACAAAAACAGTAGCCGGGTCTAATATCCGAATAGAAAAAAAAAAGAGGGGGGGGGGGGGGGGGGTCTCGAGGGGAAAAAAAAAAAAAATTTCAAAGTTGAAAAAAAATATACAATTTCAGAGTTGGCAAAGTGACACCGGCCGGTGACTTGGGCCCATAAATCATAATACAGGAGCACATTAATTTTTCCACACTAATCAGGCGCGCACAAAACATTAACTGTATCTGCTGCAGACAACACAAAACGTTCGGCGTGAAACCTTAGCGAAATTTCCCCCCGTAAAATTCACTTGGGCCCTTACTGCTACAAGCAGGGCAGGGCCTGAGGGAGCTTGCAGGAACTTATAAGCAACAGAAATATAATCTAACTTGAAACTGCCCTGGAAAATGTAAGAATGTGAAAAATGATCATCCTATTTGCTTGGCAGGAGTAGAATCAACTTTTATTCTGATTAGATTCAGGGCATATGAGGTAGTTTTCTTTTCCACTAGGAAAAAAGGGGAAGAAAAAGGGAGATTTTCAGAAGCAGCTGCTACTTGTAGCAAATGAGGAGTAGTCTTCCCCTGTGTCTTACACGGAGCAGAATTCTGGACAGCCAAATAACAAAAATAGGGCCACTTCCACTAGATCATTGGTTTAAGGCTCACAATTCTGCTGCAGCAAAGCAAAGCCTGTAGTATGTCAGTGACGATATGATAGTGTTGAGTTCATCGTGAAGTTTTTGTTTTTTTTAACGAGTTAAAGGACAACTATCACAAAAGATAAATAGAACCAGTCAGCATATATATTTTTATTTTACATGTATTTTTGATGTCTTTTTAAGTTTTCATGTGTTTTTTATGTTTACTCAAACCAAGCTGACCAGTGACGGGTCGAAACAAATACAAATTTAATTTTTTTCTAAACTGGGAGATTTTACCCATTTCCCCACATTTAATTGCCCCTGGCAGCGTTTCTTTCAACTGTCGCTTTAGCTGTAAGTGCAATTTATTATTTTATATATACTATATTGTTATATTGCCAAAAGTATTGGGACGCCTTTACACGCACGTGAACTTTAATGGCATCCCAGTCTTAGTCCGTAGGCTTCAGTATTGGGTTGGCTCCGCCCTTTGCCACTATAACAGCTTCAACTCTTCTGGGAAGGCGTCCACAAGGTTTAGGAGTGTGTCTATGGGAATGTTGGACCATTTTTGAGGCCAGGTACTGATGTTGGATGAGGCCAGGCTCGCAGTCTCCGCTCTAATTCATCCCAAAGGTGTTCTATCGGATTGAGGTCAGGACTCTATGCAGGCCAGGCAAGTTCCTCCACCTCAAACTCGCTCATCCATGTCTTTATGGACCTTGCTTTGTGCACTGGTGCGCAGTCATGTTGGAACAGGAAGTGGACATCCCCAAA